TCCACACTTTCTTCATCCATTCTTCCATTGAAGGGCATCTAGGTTGTTTCCAGGTTCTGGCTATTACAAATAATGCTGCTATGAACATAGTTGAACAAAAGCCAAGTCTTAATTAAGAGTCTTTTTGGGCTGGAGAGATGGCTCAGTGGTTAAGAGCACTGACTGCTCTTCCAGAGGACCCAGGTTCAATTCCAGCACCCACATGGCAGCTCACAACTGTCTGAAGATCCAGTTCCAGGGGATCTGACATCTTCACACCAATGCACATAAAATAAAATTAAATAAACCATGAAAAATACTTTAAAAAAAAAAGAGTCTTTTTAGGGCTATCATGGGTACGACAATTCTAGAAAAGAAAACGCCAAATCACTATCATCTTTACAATTTTAAATATATGATATTTAAATATTCTAGTCCAGGAACATATTCTAATTAGGTTGGAAATCTCAGTTCTACAATATACTTTAAAAAGTTTCTTGAAGCTGAGTGGTGGTGGCACAAGCTTTTAATCCCAGCGTTTGGGAGGCAGAAGCAGGTGGATCTCCAAGTCTGAGGCCAGCTTGGTCTACAGAGTGGGTTCCAGAACAGCCAGAGCAGTTACACAGAGAAAGCCTGTCATGAAAACCCAAAAGAAAAGAAGAAAGAAAAAAGTTTCTTATACCACTGTAGAAAACCAGAGCTGTGGAGCGCAGGCCCAGTGGATACATCTATAAAACTTCCGAACACCGTGAGAAAGGGAATGGAAAGGTTGCCACAACCAGAGGAAAGCCCCACAAAGCCTCAACCCTACTAAAGAGCTACCGGAAACCGAGGGAAGCTGAGAGAGACAGCAGGGGTCTTTCCCAGGGAAGAGCACACATTGATTGTCCAATATCAAATGGTCAGTCCTGGAAACGTACATACAAGTACTGATACAGGGACTGAACAGGCTGTATTTAGGACTACACACACACACACACACACACACAAATATTTGCTTGCAATAACAAAGAAAAAAGAGGTCATGAATTTGAAGGAAATTGGGGAGAGGTATACAAGAGAATTTGGAGAGAGGAAAGGGAAGGGAGAAATATTACTATGGTTCAGAGGCTAAGAGCACCCCTTGCTCTTGTAGAGGACCCAAGTCTGTTCAACGACACTCTTGTGATGTGGCTTACCCCCTCCTGCAACTCCAGCTCCAGGGCATTTAACACCTTCTGGACTCCCTGGGCAACTGAACTCACTCACATCCCCCTCCCCATTAAGTTTTTGTTTTTTTTTTTTTTTTTTTGAGAAAGGGTCTCTCTCTATGTGTTTTGGGGTGACACTGGGCTTTAACTACCATTCTGACTTCTAACTCAGAGAGATCATCTTGTCTTCCTCCCACGGTAGCTGGGATTAAAGGCATGTGCCACATGCCTGGCTTGCTTCCTTGCTTGCTTGCTTATTTATTTATTTATTTATTTATTTATTAACTTTTATTGGTTCTTTGTGGATTTCACCCCATTTCTTCTGATCCCACTCATCTCCCTGTCCCCTCGCATTTGCTCTCTGCCCTTGAAACCTCCCCAACCCAAGAACACTAAATTTAAAAGAAAATCCCCAAACCAAACAAAACTAAGTAACAAAATAAAAACAAAAACAAACAGGAAGAAGAAGCTTGTCATGGAAGCTATACCGTGGCCTGTTGAGACACAGTTACTCTAGTCCATTCATCTTTTCTTGCAAGTATTCATTGCCGCGAGTCGTCGTTCTGGCTGGAGGCCTCTGGTTTCTGCTACACCACCTATAATGGGCTCTCACTGGGGCTCCTTTCGGTTAGCCTGTTGTCCTGTGTCATGGAAATCCTGCTGTTTTGGATTTGTAGGGCTGTCCCTTTCACATGCTCTGACAGTTCCTGGATTTCAGTGGATGCTGGGGGTAAGCCAACCCATAACCCTGGGCCTGGGTGGTAGCTGGGTTGGTCGGCCTGCCAGGTTTCTCTTGTCACTACCCAGGTGAGCTCTCCAGCACTGCCCAGGCTGGCTCACCCAATGCAGCCTACAGCAAGGAGCTGGCCCAGTTCTTTTGCTCTTGGGCCCTCAGATCGGGGTCCCCCACATTTACATCACCAGGGCCAGACTACTGTTTTGCCCAGGGCCCTCTCTCCAGATTGCTGTAAGGGACCTATGAGAGAGGGGTGGGGTCACCTCTAATGCTCTGATGCCTTTAGGGCTGGCTCACCTGCAACAGAATCAGCTCTAATGTGGTGTCCAGGCAGGGTGCAGTGCCTGCTCTCCTGGGTATTAGTTCTCTCACTCCCGTGACCCAAGGGCCAGCAATCTTATGAGAGCCACAGGGAACAAGGGTCAGAGGGAGGAGGACATCTTCCCACTGCATGGAGGGATGGGATCAGCTCCCCAGTTCTCACCTGTGTCCCCAGCAACAGGGCTAGCTCTAGCATGCTGCCCAGACAGGAAGCAGAGGCTTCTTTCTCGTGCACTGCAGCCAAGTGAGGGGCAGGGCTAGCACTCTGACTCCTGTGACCCCAGGACGAGCTCTCTCACCTGCCGCGGGTGGCAGTGGGTGGGTGGGTGGAGAGGGCATCTCTCCCTCACCCTTGTCACCACACGGCAGACGGGGTGGGGTGGGGTCAGCTCTCCTGATCTCCTGCCCTCAGAGTTGACTCATCTGTGTCCCCGATCAAAGGGTCAGCTCTAGTGTGCTTCCCTCTAGTGAGGTACAGGCCTATAGTGAGGGGTGGGGCCATCTTTCCCAGTGCAGGTGCGAGCTCTTTCCTGAGGGGTTGGACCAGCTCTCCTGCGGCAGTATCCTGTGGAGGTCAGAACCAACCGTCCCAGGACCAGGGAAGGGCAGGGCTGGCTCAGCACATGTGTCCTATGACTCCGTGCTAACACTGGCCATGAATATTACCACAGACCCAGACATGGCCTTGGGCAGCAGCTTGGGTCCAGATGCCATCATGACCTCGGTGGCAGCACGCTCTCCTCCCCCAGCAGCAGCATGGTCACTGGGCATTAACATGGTACCAGGTAGCTGGCCACACTCCAGGCATCCACAGAGTCCTTGGTGTCAACTGGAGCCCTGGATACCACCTCAGGACCCAGACATGGCCCTAGGCAGTGGCCCATGCCGGATGTCTCTATGGCTCCAGGTTAAAAAAAAAAAAATTCACAGCTAAAAAATTTTTTTAATGATTTTTAGTTGAATATTACATTATTTTTAAAAAAATTGATGAGCAGGATCATAAACAAATAAACAAAAACAACAACAATAAAGATTTGGTCCACAGAGAGTGGTAAGAGCCCAAGCACAAGATGGTTTTCTGCCAATAACAGTAGAAGGCATGTTTTAATTAGTTAATTAATTATGAGACAGTCTCTCTCTACATAGCTGTGACTGTCCTGGATCTCACTATATAAACCAGGCTGGCCTTGAACTGACAGAGATTCTCCTGCCTTTGCCTCCTGAGACCTGGTATTAAAGGAGTGTGCCACCATGACCATTTTTTTTTTTTTTTTTTTTTTGAGACAGGATTTCTCTGTAACTTCGGAGCCTGTCCTGGAGCTAGCTCTTGTAGACCAGCCTCAAACTCACAGAGATTATTATCTCAACAATTCTTCAGGGTAGTTATTGTTGATGACACTTTACGAACAAGCACACAGCTACACAAAGACTCCCCCCCCCCCATCAATTAGACACAGGTGTATTTCAGTGGTTAAGAGCACTGCCTGCTCTTCCAAAGGCCCTAAGTTCAATTCCCAGCAAACCACATGGTGGCTCACAATCATTTGTAATGAGATCTGGTGCCCTCTTGAGGAAGAGACCTGGTCAGTTGTCTTCATCAACTTAGACCATGTCCCAATACGGACAAGTTCAAGAGAAGCTGCCATATATGGGCTGCCCATGCCTGCTTCCCATGCCTGCTTCAGCAGTGCCAGGGCATTCATTTCATTTCATTCAGGAAGCTCATGCTTTTCATATTAGACTCCTCGGTGGACACTTTAAAATGGTGTTTGCTGCCGGGTGTGTTGGTGCGTGCTGCAGTCCCTGCTCTTGGGAGGCCAAGGGAGAACAGAGTTTGAGGCCATCACTCCAGGCCAGTGAGGGTTAAACAGTGAGATTCTGTCCCAAAACAAGACAAACAAACCCCAAATGGAAAACAACATAAAAAACAAGTAAAGCCCCTTAAACGAAAAAGTTAGTTTTTTTTAAAATGTCACAAAATTCTTAAAATACATTTTATAATACTTCACACGTTAACTTTTATACTTTACATATTATATTCAAAACTTTATATTCATTTCTAAAACTGTGTAGGACAAGTTTTGAGACATAAGGATATGGCATGCACATATAAATGACTACAAAATACTCAAGGTTTTTCTCCCATACCCTGACCTATCCCAACCCTTGGCATCACTGCATGGTCACCATTACGATGCCTTTGAATTCAATTAAGAAAAAAACAATTTTACATTTTAAGACAGGTTATTACATTTTCTTCTTTAAAAAGATATGCAATTCACATACTACTATATTGATATTTCTTTTAAATTTTCATGAAATATAAAATAAATAACATTCCATGAAAGAATGTCCTTGGTGTTTTAAGATTTAAGAAGATATTTGCCACACAAATCCTTCTAACAACTTATTGAAGAGAAAAGTACCTTTCATTTGTGCTGCTTCCCTTTCTCTGTGTTCCACCTACATAAAAAAGTCATTTGCATTATTTAAAAATGAAGGAAATTTGTATATATTTATACATTTATACTAGTAAGAATTGCAATATTACACGTTTTGATAAAAATGTTTCTTTCTACAGTATGGGAAAGAAGACCCGAGGGCAGGAGAAAGGCTTGTCGGTTAAGAGCCTACACTGTTCAGTGTTTCTTTTCAACTCCTATGGCTCCTGATCCACTCCGAGAGACTGCATCGTCCACTCATGAGGGTGAGGCTCCTGTGGGGGCTCCGCCTCCTAAGGCTTCTGCCACCTCAGGGCTGTCCCGGGAGGGCCCATCTTCCAGCCCATGAGCCTTTGGAAGACAGGCCACATCTAAATGTCGGCAGCAGCTCAACTGCATCTCAGTTAAGCTGTTACATGCAAAACAAAGGTGTTCTGAAAATAAAGCTTTTCAAAGAGAAATTAGATATGATCCTTGAGCTCTATTGCAATAGTATGGCCCAAGAAATAACAACAGAAGTTATACTTAGCCAATATTGAAAACTTTTATAAAACTGTTACAAGGGTGAGAAACTCACCAAGTGAGATTTAAAAACTGAAAAGCAGGTCAGGTGTGGTGTACACTTTTAATCCCAGCACTCTGGAAGCAGAGGTAGGTGAATATTTATGAATTCCAAAGTTCAAGGCCAGCCTGGTCTATATAGTGAGTTCCAGGACAGCCAGGGCTACAAAGAAAGACCCTGTCTCAAGAAAGCAAAGAAAACGGAAAAGCACATAACCAACAAAGGACTTGCATCCACAATATATGAAGAACACTTCATCTCAATGTTAAGAAAACAATCCATTTAGAAAATATAACAGATTTAAAGAGATGTTTTACTAAGAGTATAGATGCTAAATAAAAATATGAAAAGGTATATAAAACCATTTCCTGGGAGATTAAATTGAAACATACTTTGTTGTCTTACACAGAGAAGGACGTGGATCTTGCCTTGGTGTGGACCACTTCTGACTGACCAGGATGGTGGCTGCTGAAGGCTGGGGTGGGTGTGGAGGCTTTTCTCTTTTATTTTTATATTACATTTGTGGTGTGTGTGTGTGTGTGTGTGTGTGTGCGTGCGCGCAACTGTACACCCGTAGAGGACATCTTTTGGGACTTGATTCTCTCCTTTCACTGTGTGTATCCTGGGATAGACTGGCTTGCAAGCTTCATTACCCAATGAGCCATCTTACTGGCCCAAAACTTCTTAGGGTAAGATAATGAAGGGGCTGAGTGGTGGAATGTTTGCCGAGCATGCGCAAGGCGCTAGATCAGCACTGAACACACGCATGCTCGAGCGTGCACGGCCACCCCCTCCATGACCGTGCTGGTCCCTGTAGATTGACTCATCTTTTCATGAACTCTTTCTCTGTAGCACGGAGAACTTTACCTTGTTGCTACTCTGTCTAAGTTTATATAATATTCTGAATTCTTCGTTGTGGTTTCAACAATGTTCATAGCCTCTACCTCAGACATAATCCCCATCTCAAGAAGCCACTTTGGAGAGATTCTGGATTATAGAGGACTAGAAGCTGCCTCAGTGTGACCAAGTGAAGAAGAATCGTGATGTGTAAACACAGTATGTTCCAAAGACAGGAGGTGAGGGAAGAGCTTCAGAAATCCACAAGAGGAGAGCTAGCACAGCAGTGGAGGTCAGAGAACCAGGAGGAGGCAGCAACAAGAAGGCCAAGCCCAACACAGTCACCCAGTCACACCACTGGCTTCCCTACTCACAGGCCACGCCCACAGCGCCCACAAACCTTAAAACTGGAGGCTTCTTTTATGGGATGGGTCAGCAAGGGGAAGGCATTTCCCTGCCTTGGAGGGCTGAGGCTGGTGTCATCTTGAGAGAGGACGAACTGTTTAAAACCGAACTGCCGTGGGGTCTAATTATGTCAGCCAGCCTGAATTCAACCTGTCACAGCCCCAGCCTGAGAGACAACTGTAGAGTGTGGGGGGTACGCACATGGAGAAGCCCCAAGTGCAGGCGTCGGCTAGCTCCACCATTGATCCCTGGGAGCAGGTGTCATCAATATAACTTTGAAGTCAGCGGGTGAACCAACTCCTGGAGTCACCTCTCTGCTGTGAGGGTAACTGCTGTACAGTCGGGGCGCTTTGGAATTCCAGCTACCACTTTTCTAGAGGACCCAGGTTCCCAAGTCAAGCGACTCAGTAACCGCCTGTAACTCCAACTTCAGAGGACTTGAATCCTCTGGCTAAGGCCTCACACATATGTGTGTCATACACGTGTGTATGCACGTGTACGCACACACAGACAATTAAAGGTTTAATTTAATTAAAAAATGTGTGTGTTTGCCTGTCTGTATGTGTGCAGTATGCACAGAGGCCAGAAGAGGGCACTGGGTCCCTGGTCCTTTGCAATAGCATCATGTGCTCTGAGCCATCTCTCCAACCTGCTAAAGGGATTTTGAGAAGATGGAGACAGGTTTGCCTGTGTGGAGCTCAGTGTTGTGGGTGCTACCTCTACCTCTGATGAAACAGGCAGAAAAAAGGTACTCAGCTGGAACATTCACCAGTCTAGAGGGTATGAACTGGGGGCTCTGGGGTTGGTGGGAGACTCTGTGCAGCTCGCAGACTGAGAAAGGAACACCACTGACGTGCAGACAGCCCTGGCTGACATCAGACATTTGCCCAGCACAGGCTCCTCAGCACCAGCACAAATCATGGCAAACAGAGTCCAGAACCCACCGTTTAATGGGCCCCAGTAGACCTAGACACAAATTCAGCACCATAGGTCCTTAGCGAACTGTGCCGACAGTGAGTGGTCTCTCGGCTTCTCTTACAATGTGAACCTAAACACAGCGACAGCAGCCAGTGCTGATGCCGATGCGTGGTGAACTAGGCACGTGGCTGCTGAGTTCAACTTGAATTTAAGTAACAAAGGCCTGCCGTCCTATTTGTCACCGGTCTTTATCTCCGAATGCTGTAAGACCATTGGTTGATTGATTTAACCCACTTATATTTTCAGTTTCTACTAGACTTTGCCATGCTCTGCTTTGTCCTTATGATGCTCTTTTGACACATGATATTGTTAATTGTGGTCTGCTTTGCTCATCAATACCATACAAAGCACCTTGAAAGAAGGGACAATATCTTAATCTTCCCAACAGGGGAGGGGCAAGATCTTCAAATTTATTTGGATTAGTAGATCTTTACCAAATTGAATTAAATTACACTTAACTGGTTTGAACCGGCTATCTGGTTATCTGAGCATTTCTTTTTTTTTTTTTTTTTGGTTTTTCGAGACAGGGTTTCTCTGTGGCTTTGGAGCCTGTCCTGGAACTAGCTCTGTAGACCAGGCTGGTCTCGAACTCACAGAGATCCGCCTGCCTCTGCCTCCCGAGTGCTGGGATTAAAGGCGTGCGCCACCACTGCCCGGCTTGAGCATTTCTTATTTCCAAATTTCTTTTCCTTTTTGTAGTTCTGAGAATTTTGCAGGCACCCCCCCCCAAACATGTCATTATCTTCATTCCTCTTCTAAGCCACTATGGAGAGTGTAGGGTTTTGTTTGCTTGTTTTTTTTCCCCCCTGAAAGGTATATAAAAGCAGCTGGAGACAGAGTTTATTTTCATTTAATTTTTCTGTTCTTTGTTTTAAAATCTATTTATTTATTATGTATGTAGTATTCTTGGGATTCTACCTGCATGTATCCCTGCAGGCCAGAAGAGGGTACCAGATCTTGTTACAGATGGTTGTGAGGCACCATGTGGTTGCTTGGGACTGAACTCAGGACCTTCGGAAGAACAGGCAGTGCTCTTAACCACTGAGCCATCTCTCCAGCCCAATTTTTCTGTTCTTTTAAAAACTTTATCACCCTTCAAAATATAAAAGAAAACCAGCTCTCCTATGGTCCTATATGAACTTTTGGTTTGGGTAATTTAAAATTTGGCGCCAGGATTTTTTTTTTAATATTTTTTTATGTATTATGTATACAATACTCTGTCTGCATGTGCGCCTGCGGGCCAGAAGAGGGCACCAGACCTCATTACAGATGGTTGTGAGCCACCATGTGGTTGCTGGGAATTGAACTCAGGACCTTTGGAAGAGCANCCCCCTTTTTTTTTTTTTGAGACAGGGTTTCTCTGTAGCTTTGGAGCCTGTCCTGGAACTAGCTCTTGTAGACCAGGCTGACCTAGAAGTCACAGAGATCTGCCTGCCTCTGCCTCCTAAGTGCTGGGCTTAAAGGCATGTGCCACCACCACCCAGCCTCATGCTTTTGTATCTTAAACTAAAACATAACAGTGGATATATTAGCCTCCTAATAGAAAGATAACTTGCTGGTAACATGGTCTACGAATCTCCAAGGAGACTACTTTAAAACACGACACTCTACCTGTGGTTGAGGTTGGCCAGTGTGAAAGTTTCGGGAAATGAAAACAGACTGAGGTTTAGCTTCCTGTTTGTATAGTCTTTGTTCCAGCTTTTCATCAATTGATTTAATGTTGGGACTTCGAAATAATTCCCTGGAAAACATTGTACAGAAAACATTATAACACAGGAATCAGATTATATGATTATATATGCTTACTGAGATATTGTCTCTAACATTATACATAGGAGTTTGAAATCAGCATGTTGTAGACCTTTAAAAATAGCAGTTTTTACACTTAACATAGATCTGATTTCATTATGTCTACTTGCCATAAAGTATAAACTAGCTAATTATAGAAAGTTAGCATTTACGGTTTGAATATTGCTGAGTTACTTATATACTTCCTTTTGGTTATGAGATAATCAACTTCATTGCTAATTAGTCTTTTCTTTTTTCTGTTTTTTTTTCTCTTTCTTTCTTTTCTTTCTCTCTTTCAATTGTTTTGAGACAGGGTTTCTCTGTGTAGCTCAGGCTGTTCCAGAAGTCTCTTTGTAGATCAGGTTGACCTCAAATTCAGAGATTCACCTGCCTCTGTCTCCCAAGTGCTGGGATTTAAGGCGTGCGCCACCACTGCCTGGCCCAGTATTATTCTTTTAATTCAAGCCTCCGACTAAACAAAAGTTCCCGGCACATGCCTCTCTTGTAGACTTTATATATTTGCTTATTAATCTGTCTCCTGTCAAGTCTTGGAAACAAGAACTTTTCCAGCCTTGTTCACAGTTGTATCCTCAATTCCAATAACAGTAGAAGATCGCTAACAAATATTTCCCTTTATTATTTACATTGTGCATATATTGAATATTTGTTGAAACAATGAAGAAATGAACACTTTCTGACTTGAACATGGTGGAAAGACAGCCGCTGAGGTCAGATCACTGGGAGAAAAATGTGGGAAGTGATCTTACAATTTATACTTTTAAAATACCAGAATGCAAATTCTGAGCTGGTTAATTAAGTAGGAACACTAAAGTTTAGAGCTGAAAATCAGAAGGCATTAGTTTGTCTTTTGTGGGTTCCTGAGGGGAGAGCATTTTCAGACCACATCAGGCCATTATGTCAGTTCTCTTAGTTCCTAGAAAGGGGGTTTTGCTCTTCAGTCTTGTCTTAACCTCCAAACTGGAAGGGTCCCCCTTAATTTCTAGCTTTAGATTGTAATCAGACCCATGTCTTCCAGAAAGTAAAATAGGACTTGTTATTCCTCAAATTTCTCAGTGCACAAAGAGCACTGTTGTTTTGCTCTGGTCCTTCTTTGGGGTGATTTAATAATGCACACTTTTCCAGTCACAAGGTCTAACCAAGCTCCAGATTATAGAATCAATTCCATCACAATGATTTAAATTTAATAGCCATGGAAACCACTTCACTGAATTTTTAACAACAACAAAAGACTTAGACAAACCTTCTAGTAAACCTTACCTTCGTTTGCAAATCAGGAACCACAAAGCAGATGAGAAAACTAAGAAACCAGTTCCCAGACTAATGGCACCAGCAGCCAGAAAATAGGTTAAGAAGTTAATAAAACCTATACAAATAAATGGTAAAATATCATTTCATGTACACATCTCAGTTCTCTAGTTAAATAAATGAGGTGATATTTACAATGATATAACATATGTAATATTAAGACTGACAAAGAAATCGGGGAACCTGAATTCTTGTCCTATACAATCCAAGTAAACAGGAAGACCCAGAGTTAGAAAACAACACAGGACACATTGTAAGTAGAACTGGGAAAGCCTGTAGGGATCTCACTTTAGAGGTGGCAAAATTGAAGCCCATGTAACAGAGGTAACGGAACTAAAGCTGTACAGCAATTGACACCAATGTTCTGATGGTTTTCTATTTTCTTTGCTAGCAAACATCTCCCAGCATTCCCCAGGCAGCTCACAACCATCTGTAAACTCCAGCTCAAAGGGTCTTGCGCATCTGGCCTCCAAAGCTACCTGTTGCACCTGCACATACCCACAGGTAGAAACACACACATCTAGGTAGAAAAGAGAAAAACAAACCTTTTAAAAAAATTATTTCTTTTAGGGCTGGGCATGGTGGGACATATCTTTAATCCCAGAATTCAGGAGGCCTAGGCAGGCCACTCTCTGTGAGTTTGAGGCCAGCCTGGTTTACATAGTGAGTTCCAGGACAGCCAGCATTATGTAGAGACACCCTGTCTCAATAAAATAAAATTAAAAAATTTGAAGTTTACATGTATTTATTTATTTAGTGGGTTTGGTGATGGGTTCTCAAAGAATAAATTAGAATACTATGATTAAAATAAAAAATAATAAGGAAAATGAAAAATAATATAAACTGTTGACAGGGGAACAGGGATCTGAAGTCTCGTTCAGTGCTGGAGGGAATACCATTTGGGGAAGCTCTGGGAAACTGGCTCCATTAGCAAGCTGAACAGGTGCACAGCTGGCAATTCAGCATTTCCTCCAATGGGCGCACACACAATTCAAGTCCACATATGTGCCAATGAAATCTGTAGCGGGGTGTTTAGAGCAGGGTGATTGGAGGCAACCCAACACATTTGGGAAATGCACAAAAAAAAAAAAAAAGTCAGTGGCCAAATGGATAAACTTAAAGACAGAATCAATGAAAAGAAACGAATATCCCAGGACAATCGGGAAAGAATGAGCTATAACCATGCACAGCAAGATAAACTTCACAGGTAAAACTCTGGGCAGCAACAAACATTCAGGCACAGCTATCAAGGGAAGCATGGCAATGCTGAGTGTGTTCTGTTTCTTGACTTAGGTATGAACACACACACGCACACACACAGTGCACATACTCACACACACACATACTCACACACACACACCACACATGTATTGAGACTTCAGCAACCTCAGCACTCAATACTTAGCAATATGTCAAATTTATGATGGGCATTATCTGTGGGTGAGCAGGAGAAGTACACACTGATTTTTCAATGTTCTATCCTTCAAATGATACGCAGTTGCTATGATAAAAATGTTCATTTAGGAGATGATTGCATGGGTATTTGTTATTGTCTTTTTTTCTACTTCATTCGTTTGATTTTTTTCTCTACTATTTAGAAAGTATAAAAATAGGATGTTCTAAATTTTGAAATAAAAAGAAAATATTTATACAAGGAAAAATATCAATGGGCTGTTACTGGGAACAGGCTTATAGGAACTTTTCTATACTATCGAATTTCTTCCAGTGGTAGAGGGCTTGCCTAGTATAGGTAAGGTCCTGGGACAATCTCCAGCAATAGAAAAAAAATTGAGACTCAGGGGAAAAGTAATAAAATTGACAAGTTTATAATAATCTTATAGCCAAGTGAAAAAATTGAAGCATAAATTAATATATTAAAAGTGAAGAAAGAAGCCGGGAGGTGGTGGTACACACCTTTAATCCCAGCACTTGGGAGGCAGAGGCAGGCGGATCTCTGTGACTTCGAGGCCAGCCCTGGTCTACAAGAGCTAGTTCAAGGACAGGCTCCAAAGCTACAGAGAAACCCTGTCTTGAAATATTTTAAAAAAAAATGAAGAAAGAACACAATTACAAACACAACAAAAGTGGGGAATAAGAAAATGCTATCAATAATAAAGACTAATAAATTTAAAGTTTACTTAAAATACAGAACCCCCCCCAAAAAAAATGATTTCTACAAAGCGAATGAAGAAGTGACAGAACCTGCTGGTCAGCGCTCCAACAGGGAATGTTTCCGAGTCCTGCGGACTTTCTGATTGAAATGCGGCTAGTACCAGCCCCACAAAAGCGACGCAACACGAGAAGGGCGACGATTCTTGTATGCCGCGGGAAAGGCATTATGATCAGAAACTGAGTGGCTGCGATGGACAGACTAAGACTATGTTCGCAGAATGGTATAAAACCGCACGAAGATTGTGCTGAGCCCGTCTGCCGGTCTACGAGGGCACTGGCGAGTAAGAGACGCCAGCCCTGTGAACCGGAGGCTAAGAGAAAGGAATCCAGTTCTAAGATGACTTTCTTAGGAAGACAATAAAATCAGGAGCTTTTACTCAAAATAGGAAGAAAGGGAATTAAAAAAGAAAGAAGTCACAGAAAACCCAAGGGAACACAAGTTCATTACATTGACTCAACAGTTACAAACTTCCCCCAAGGAAACTGGTGGTCCCCAAAAGGTTACAATTTCTACTGTATACCCATGCTAGCATTTCTTATCTTATAGAAGTTCTTCCAGAGAACAGAAAGACATTGCTGGCTGTTCCTCCAAGTACATTTTCTTCTTTGTGGGTAAAACTAGTCTGTCTCAGCTTCCCATACCATTAGGTGAAACAATATGACAGAGTTTTGACCAACGGAATCCGAGGGCAATGATGTCATAAAAACCTTCTGCAGCTCCTTCTTGGTACTGTTGTGGACAAGGTGATCTCCAAGGGAACTGTGGAAGTTGCAGGTTGATATCACCTCCATCAGTCTACTGATGGAGGTCAGTCATCTGACCACCATCATAGAAAATTCAGCCTCCCAAAATCTCATATTCTTTGCAGGGGCATGCTCTGTGTTCTCCAATACAGAATATAGACAAACAGTTGAGAGCCAGTAAAACTTGAAAATGATACATTTTGAAACAACCTATGGGCAACAAGAAATTTTAAGGAGACAGAAAATATTTTTAATGAGTATAAAGAAAATATGATGTCAAACCTGGTGGTGGTGGTACATACCTTTACTCCCAATGCTCAGGAGGCAGAGACAGACAGGTCTCTGTGAATTGGATGCAGCCAAGAAGTTACACAGAGAAACCCTATCTCCAAAACCAAAAAAAAGAAACAACAACAACAAAAAAACCGTATCATTCCGTTAGTATATTTTATGGGGGAAAAGATTAGAGTTTTATTCTTGGTGAATTATAGAACCACAGTCTAATAATTTATGTGAGGCAAACTCGAAAAATAAACCATTAGTTCTTTGGTGACATCTGCTTTGCCTGTTTTTTTTTTTTTTTCTCCCTTCCTTTTTCTTTTTGAGATAGGCTTTCTCTGTGTAGTCCTGGCTGTCCTGGAACTTGCTCTGTAGAACAGGTTGGCCTTGAACTCAGAGATCTGCCTGCCTCTGCTTCCTGAGTCCTGTGATCAAAGTTGTACACCACCACCACCCAGCCTTCTTTGCCTGTTTTTTAAGTGAATGAACTCAAATGACTTACATAGCCACTCAGTGAGCCCCTTCTGCTATTCCCTGTGAATATTCCTGTGACTATAAAGTTTTCAATCCCACCTTCTTACTATTTCTAATTTCAGAATTATCGCATGCTCTCAAATTATGTGCCTCCGTTTGCATCTGAAAATGCTATCAGTCTCTTTTTCTTTTCTTTACTTTTTGAGATAGTGTCTCACTGTGAAACTCTAGTTGGCCTGGAACTCTTTCTATGTAGACCAGGCTGGCCTCGAAATCACAGAGATCTACTTGGACACCAGAGTGGTGGGACTAAAGGTGTTTTCCATCAAGCCTGGTTAGAAATATTTTTAAAGTAATTTTTCAAAATTATGGGACTATTCATGGGTCATAATTTACATATGTGTACTGTGGAGGCCCAAAAATGTGAGCCTATTTCCACCTTGTCTGATGGTCAGAGAGTTTGGAAGTTGCTCAAGATGGTTGACAAGCATACTGCAGGTACTGAGTCAGGGTGTGATTACCTAGTTCTTTTGACATTAAGATGGCTCATACAAGTAGATCCATTCCATCCTGACTGATGGTCAGGATATGCAAATGTACTTCTGTTCCTTCTTTTGTAATTATGAGTTCCTGGGAAGTGACTGCCTTCGGGATACTAGGTCTAGGGTAGCTTTACTGTCTAAACAACAAAATGCTAATGACTTGATGTCTCTAAGTGTTAAAGCAATTAACTGAGTTGTCCTTTGAATCATGTTAAAGAAATCTTTTGTTGCCTTCTTCCCCTTTTGTAGTAGGGTATAAAAGCATATGGAAAATTAAACACGGACGATTTCAATATTCACTGGAATGCCCTCCTAGTACTATTCTATGTTTTCTGCTTTATTATTTTTCATGTGTCTTTGTATTCTTTCCTTATATTTCTAAATCCCCACAGCCCTACCCTGGCAAGGGGTGTTTTTGCTGAGGCTGCTTCTTGACAGTGAACCATGTGTGTGTGCTATGGGACAATGGTCTTGTACCCTGTAAAGATTTCTGTATTTAATAAAATGATGGGCATTTTAATTTGGTTTGATCTGACCTAGTTGGATTTCTTTGCCAGCAGAGCTGCCTGTCTTAGGATTTTTTCCTAACAAGCTTTACTGGTTTAATAAAATGCCGACTGGCCAGTAGCCAGGCAGGAATTATAGGAGGGGTGACCAGAGGCTCAGTCTGCAGCTGTCATCTAGACACAGAGGAAGGAAGATGAGACTGCCTTGCTGATAAAAGGTACCAAGCCCACGTGGCTAACACAGACAAGAACTATGGGCTAATGTAAGTTAAAAGAGTTAATAAGAAGCCTGAGCTAATAGGCCAACCAGTTTACAATTAATGTGGACCTCTGTGTGCTTCTTTGGGACTGAATGGCTACGGGACTGGGCAGGACAGAAACCTCTGTCAACATGTGTACAGGTGCTTACAAGCCAGATAAGGGTGTCAGATTTCCCTGGAGCTAGAGTTACAGGTGGCTATAGGCCATAGGGTGTGGATGCTGGGAAAGCTAGGTCTACTTGCAAAAGTAGCAAGTGTTCTTACCTCTGAGCATCTTTCCAAGACCCCCAATTCTACAAATCTTATAGTTACATTGGCTGGGTAAACTTCCCCTCAAATTATTATAGAATTATTATCTGAACCTTCCTTCCCTCTTAAAATGATTCTTCAATAACTTGGGGACAACTGCCTGAACTTATAGTCAACACTAAGATTTTTACAGGGGATGCATCTTTCCAGTTCACCAAATTGTTCCTCAATAAAATTCTTCATGAGGAATGAGTAAAATAATTTTTGAACAAGAAGAATGTGTTGTCTGAACATGATGGTCCAGGCCTTTAGTCCCAGCAGATGCAGTCAGAACTCTGTGAGTCCAAGGCCAGGGTTGTCTACATAGTGAATGTCAGGTGAGCTAGGGCTACATAGTGAGACCCTGTCTCCAAAGGAGAAGTGGAAGAGGTGGTCAACATGTTTCCTTCCACATTTTGCCTTGTAGGAGACTTGAGAGTGAAGTTTTACTTTAAACACCTGTAGAATTTTCTGTTTTATAAATTGTTATGCCAATTATTCATCTTGAGTTCTTACTGTATTTTTAAATGTCTTCTTTAAGTTTGGTTACATTCCAGACATAAAAAGTATTGGTGAGTGAGGAGATGGCTCAGTCAGTAAAGTGCTCCATTACATAGGGCAGAAAGGCCTGGGTTTGGAGTCCAGCAACTACGACAAAAGCAAAGTTCTGCAGCATGCACATGTCATTTCAGCATTGTGGTGGCAGAGATGGACTCCCTGGGCTTGTTGGCCAGTCAGGTTAGCCAGCAAACAAGCTCTGGGTTTAGTGAGAGACCATACTTCAAAAATTCATGTGCGTAGTAACTGAGGAAGACTCTTCACATCAACATCTGACCTCTGCATGTGTGCATGCACACACACACACACGCACACACACATGCGTACGCACACACACACGCACACACACACACACACACTCGTGCATATGCACACATACAACCACGCAAAAAGCGTCATATGTGTTAAAGACAATGTGCTACCTTCACCATCATAAACCAGAAAGAAGAGCTCAATATTTATTATGACCAAATTAACATTTCTAGTTACAGAAAATACTATCCATTTTCCAAATGGACCATTGTGGGCCCATATTTCTGTATGGCACAAAAGCCATAGACCCAGTCTGAGCTGATCATGGAGCTCTGCAGACAAGATGTCTCTGCCTAACAATAGCAAGGATATAGATCTCTTGAGGAGAGGTGTTGACTGAAACTGGTCAGGATGTTTGGTGCTTCCTTCTTTTGTAATTTGGAGGATGTCTTATAGAAATGCTAATTCAAGGCCTACCTGACTGCTAGATGCAGACGTCATGTGACCAGAGCCCAGGCACCTGGTTACCTAGGAGATAGCCTAATGTGTTCCCGCTCTATTCATGTGAGGATATATAAGCTGTTTGGAGAATAAAGGAGAGATCTTTTTGGAGAGAGATCGTGCCCATGAAAGATGACCGTGTAAGTTGTGTCTGATTATTCCTTGCGACTCTGTTCCAGTCGAGTTAGGGAATCTGTGTTGGACCCACACGGGCTCCGACAGACCATGTAGCAGTTTCTTTCTTTAGACCCATGTTTTCAATTCTAAACTGCATAGCTAACGCATCCTAAGGCATCGATTTGGACATGGCGTTGCATTTCAGTACAAGCAAGTCTTGCAACAGATGTCAAGACCTAACAATAACTCTTTGCCATAAAGTGAAAGTCCAGGCAAAGACATTATATTCCATATTCAATAACCAAACACTAGCTGCAATAAACAAAACTGCAAAGAGAAATTCCTCTGGTCAAAAGAAAATGTAGCGGTCATTGAAGCGCCTCCAGAGACTCATTTCTTCCCCCCAGACGAGGCAAATATTAGTGGAATATGTACCGGACTGCGTTCTGACTCTGCATCTTGACATCTACCTTGGGGAGACGCTTAGACCTAATGAGTTAAAATAATTAAATCTTGAAAGAGCTATTAAATATTTGTTATTAGTCCAGTGAGAATAAAACCCAACTTTCTTAATTCTCAAAATAGATCACCCACTTTATTACCTGTGCATGTTCCATGTAAAATATACTGAGTTCCTTTGAGAAATAAGTGACTTTGTATCCTTGCCAGATCCTTGCCTTAAATGGATGGCTATCCGACCCTTTGAAGTCAGTGCAGGCAAATGAAATCTGAAGTATTAACTGCGCAATAAGTAAATATTACAAGCAGTGAACGACCCTCTAGAAAGCGCATTAGTATGACAATAGATTTTACTTTCTAAAGAAATGACTCTGGGGGTGGGGTGAAGATGGTAGATTAGAGATGCCAGAACTTTCCTAGGTCTCCAGAATCTGAAATAAAACCTCAGGTACCCGACTGCGGTGAGGCAAGGATGGCGTGGAAAGAGGCAGGACGGCAGGAAACAACAGACAGAGACAGGTGAAATCCAGACATGCCGGCCCCCGCAGCACGGAAGTGGGGAAGTGAGGGGAGCAGATAAACCTCCCTAGGCTCCACAGGGGCACAAGCCAGACAGCTCTGCAGAAACACTGATCAAGAAAGGACATCGACCAGGCGCAGCAAACTCTGGAGAGGGAGGCCCTGCATCTCCCAGCTTGCCCACTACTGCCCTGGAAGGCAATCATTCTTACACTCCTGGCTTTTGGTCAGGGAAAGCAGAAAGCCAATAGTTCCAGACCCCCAGCTAAAGGAGTGATCACTTGGAGCCTGGA